GTTCTTTATACGGAATAACGAGGCGATTTCTTAGATCGTGATACGACCGAGTCACTTTCCACGAGGAACGTCTTCAAAAGTTAATACCTACTACGAGGCGGTAGGTGAACCCTCGTATCGCTGGCTCGTTAAGGAATGTTTATGATTTACGAACGAGAGCTACGGTCCGTTCTCTCTCTCTCTCTCTCTCTCTCTCTCTCTCTCTCTCGATACCCGATACGCGATAGAAGTCGATTACATGCAGGAATGATGTAAGAAGTTCCTTCGTCTCTCGGTTCTATATCCCCACTTGTCGTGGAAACGACTAAAAGATAGAGAAGCTACGCGTTGGTGATCGTTAAGACCGACGCTCAAGTTCCACCACGTATCTATCCTACCTATTTGCGGGTAAGTCGTCGAAGATATAGTATATATGGTAGATAGGTAGATATACCTGCGACGTCGATTTCACGCCTTGTATTTCTCGGCTTTCTCGTGCCACCGATCTTCTCTACCTTATCGATTCTCTCTCGAACGTATCGTCGATCGTTTTCTTCGTAGTAGCCCGACTAGCTCCAACGAGTTACGATCGATCGTCTTTATCGTATCAATTTGGAAAATTTTCAACTAATTTTTTCCTGATAATTATCGATACTCGAATAAAACTTAATAAATATCGGCCTTAAATACTATCCGCCAAATGATTAATATCCCATTAAAAATTCTCATAAACCCCACGTATAAAAATGTTAGCGTATCAACTGTAGCAGGATACAAGTCGGATTCAATTACTTCCTCTTTCATTTCGAATGCGAGAACGGAGAATTACGACGGTATCGCTCGAGGAAAGAGGAAGAAGAGGAGAAGGACAAGGAGGAAGAGGAAAAAAAAGAAGAAGGTGCTCCGCGAAAGAGAGAGAGAGAGAGAGAGAGAGAGAGTTTTTCATCGTCGTAAGTCTGGAAGAAAATCTCGGCGAGAGACGGGTCGAGGGTTAATTTTCTTCTCCTTCTTCTTCTTCTTCTTCTTCTTTGGACCCTTGGAATTTACCCCGAGAGATGGAATGGAAAGTCTCGAGAAGGAGAAAGGGAAATAGAAAGAAAAGAGAAGAAGGAAGCTCAAACTCCAGCGTTTATTAGTTGACTGACAGACCAAGTCCGGATGATCGTCCCGGTTGCAGGAGCATCAAGGGCAACGGTAAACGAAGATCAGCGAGAGAACCTCGAAATGGTTGCATTCGAGTTTCTCGAAGTAAGCGGTCTGTCTTTCTTCGCTTTCCCTCTTATTCGAAAAGCCACTTATTCCACTTGTTCGATCGGTACGAAAGTCAGCGATACGGAATCTTCCGAGGAACGCCGAGGTACGGCATTTAAGTACGGTCAGAATGAAATGGGATTACGGTATCGGCGCGCTATTAGCGCTCGATATTGAAATCACCCCACGATACCGCTTGCCCAGGATCTCTTCCTTTATCGAGGGATGACGATTGGAAAGAGACGACCTGATTCGAATTGATTCGCGTTGACAGGTGGTTGCGCGGCTATGTACGCGTACGTATATGGCTCTTCTATTAGCGTATATAGGAATTTGCAAATACGATTGTACGTTATCCTTTGCCTTTTTTTCTTTTCTCTCTCTTTTTTCTTTTTCTTTCTTTCTTCTTTCTCTTTCTTTTTTTTTTCTTAGAACGAATCGAACGTCTCGAAGTTACGCGCATAAATTCGAAAAGAAAAATTGACGAATTAAGACTCCAAATGATATCCTTTATAAATCGTTTTCATAGCTTTTGCTATTTTGATTATATCACGAAAAAAGGGATCAAGAAGCTCTCTCTCTCTCGCTCTCTCTCTCTCTCTCTTTCCCATCTCCAGGCATCGTCCTACTGTTTATAATGCATGACAGAATATTTGAGAAAAGACCGGATAAAACTCGGTTAAGCTTACTGCCCGGTAGAAGGAGATTAAATTCAGTTATTCGGACCGAGATTAAACCAAATACGATGACTCGCGGTCCCGACCGGATTTCGCGAGAGTTAGCTTATAATTACGAATGGAAATGTGCGGTCTCCAGGGGTACGCCGTACGCTGTACGCCGTAGGGTATACCTACGCGGTACAAATAAAACGATTTCCTGGACTAAGGAAGCGGACAAGAGAGAGAAAGAGAGAGAGAGAGAGAGAGAGAGAGGCTGTAACTTGTATATTACTCGATCTACAATCAAGAACGTAGAGACGTACGTACGCGTGTAAGTATCCACTTGATTTCACCGTATCGATCTATTCGTTCTAAAGGAAACAAAAAAAAAAAAGAAAAAAAAAGAAAAAAAAAGAAAAAAAAAAAGAAAAAGGAAGAAATCAACTGAAAAAAAAGTTAACTAACTTAACACGATCGGATGCATTCCCTCTCACAATCGATTTGTACTCGCTCGATACACGATCGGTATCGCGACAAACCGGACGATTCCACGTCCGTCGTCGTTTTTCTTCGTTAAACATCGGCTGCGATACCTTCGTCTCTTTAGAATCCAGTCCGAAGAACCGCGTCGTTTCTCAAAACGTTCAATTATCCCCGACGGGGTGCCGTAACGCGGCTCGATTAACGATCGCTCGATGTTTCAGTAATTAACACGAATCGATAGCTCGTCGTTCGAATCGCCACGATTCGACCACACACACGCACGCACGCGCGCGCGCGCACACTAACACATAGAGGTATATATAAGTACCTTCCGAATACATAGCTAAGTATCTACTATGTACGCGTCTTGGTACAAAGCGATCGAGTTTAATTAAGCGCTAGACTTTTCTACGGCAATCGACTGACTCCTAATCGTTCGATGGTGGCTCCCTAATCAGCCGACGAGTAGCTTGTTTCGTCTATAGATATCTTTTATCTCTCTTTCCTCTTGGAGCCTCCTCCTCCTCCTCCTCCTGCTCCTCCTCCTCCTTCTCCTTCTCCTCCTCTTTCAATACCGGGCACCCTCACCAGGAGAAAGGAAACGATCGACGAGCAAGGTTCTACGAGCGGGCCCTCTCGATGCGTCCCACCGATTAGATTAGATTGGACCAGTAGTGGTAGTAATCATTGCGAACGCGCCTAAACTCCCCGCGATATGTTCGTTTCTACGTACGATAAAGAGAAATCGTCCTGCGCGAAGGAATTAAACGTAGCTTAATTACGTATCGTGACTTTCTATCAACCTCGAACGTGAGGGAAGCTCACCGACGATTAACGACAAACGATAGGTATGTACTTACATACGTGTACGTACGTACGTACGCACCTACGTACATATGTACGTACCTTCCCCTATTACGAATATTCGTACAACCACGGATCGTGGCCTGCTCTCGTTTGAAAATAATCGCCCTTCGTATCTCCCCCATCGTTTCGTTCTTTCCTTGCACAGGAGAACCATAGTAGAGATACGATATGGATTAATTCGTCGATTAACCCGTCGGGATGCCACGATTATTCTGTTTTTGTTCGCCTTTTTTTTCTTTCTTTTTGTTACCTAATCAATCCTCCCGCCCCTCTTTTGTTTCGGCACACACGCAAATATTCTCATCGTTAAGACTCATCTTTCCTCTTTTTTTGTTTTTTCTACCCTCCCCCCCCCCCACTTATGTAAACTTATCGATTAGCTTATACATCTAGTCTTTAAGGCGAAATAAAACATCGATCGATCGAGTTGAAAACATTAATTATCGGTTATCGCGTTTTCAATGTTACGTATATATATATATATATATATATATATATATATATATATATATATAGTATCAATTCGAACGTATAGCTTCTTATGCTTTTTCATAAAATTCTCGTTTCTATGTACATACGTTAGACGACAGATATTTCTAAAGGAGCAAAGACGGTAGTCGAGAAATGAAAGATAAACTGCTTCGAGACACTCCGAGGTTAGGAAGAGGGTAGGGAGAGAGAACTCGAGTCGGAGTTGTCGGTGTATCCATTCGGGAGACGCGCAAGATATATCTCTCTTTAGTCGGATTAAGAGGCGAAAGGGGTCAAGACTTTCGGATTAATAATCTGTCCGCGAGAGACCGAGAAAGCGGCAGCGATCGTTGTGCCCCGATGTATCTCCTAAGATCTCTCTCTCTCTCTCTCTCTCTCACCCCCTTTTTTTCCTTCTCCATCTTGTATTCGTCGCAGCATCTTCCTTTTGTCCCCAAATGGGAGAGGAGAGAGAGAGAGAGAGAGAGAGAAGTTACTTTTAAACGACCGAAATCGTCGGCCGATCGAAAGAGACGAGCCAGAAAAAAGGAACGAAGTAGGGTGGAGTAAAGGAGGAAGGAGAGAAAGAGAAAAAATAAGAAGAAGAGTGCTCGCGCGTGTGTATATGTAAAAGAGAGAAGAGGAAAGGAAGAGAAGACGAAGAGCAGGAGGAGTGGAAGCTGGCCTGGCAGAAATACGACGAGGCGTGGCAGATAAACGACGTATCGGCCGCGCCTGGGAGAGCGTTTTCGTTCGATAAACAGAGCAATTTGGTGTCGTTGTCGGTTGCGATTGATAAAAGCCGGCCGGAGAGCTCACGGAAAGAGAGAAAGAAAAAGAGTGAAAAGAGAGAGAGAGAGAGAGAGAGAGATAAAACGTTCTCCGGAATCCTCGCGAGCGCAACGCTTTTTCTTCCTTCGCCGTTTTAGTCGTCCACCGCGGGATGCGTTTCCGGCTTCGGCGAATGAATCTCGCGCCTCCCCATCCAAATCCAATCGATTTCTCTTCTTTTCCGTTTTTTTTGTCTTTATACCCTCACCACCCCGCCCCCCTTCCAAAAAATTCAAAGACGAGCCCATTCCTCTCCTCCTGTTCCTCTCGCAAAATCAATTTGCGAAAAGGAGAGATCGCTATCGTAGTCGATCGTACCGATAGATATCGGCCAAAGTTATTCGCTTTGCTAATTAGGAACGCTACGGGGTATCGATTTTCATCGAGAAGGATCACCTTTCGAGAATAGGATATAATGAACGGATTCTCTGTGTAATCGGGAGGATTAGGACTGTATACCTGATTTTCTCGGCTATCTAACTTTGCAGGAGAAAGGTAGTAGACGACTCAGAGACAAGGGTTTATGTTCCTTTTTATAAACGACGATGTATCTATGTAACTTGTTATCGAGCCGCTCTTGTTGGACCTAAACATTATAAATGGGACAAATTCGATGAGCGTTCCCGGACAAGGTGAAAAAAAAAAGACATAAATAAATAGAGAAAGAGAGATAAAGGGGAGTACTCACAGGAGAAACGGGAAAAATATGCGGGAAGCCGACTGCGTGAAAACACGACGCGGAATTCGCGCGTAAATAACAACGTCGAAGAAAGGAAATATCGAAAAGCTCGCAGTGGTAGCAACGAGCAACAAAACGCGAACGGTACGCGGACCGTCTCGTCGGCGGTGGATTTTGCGGCGAGATGGATGCCCTCTCGAACCTCATTTGGAAACCGCGCGTTATGGCCGTGCTAATACCGAATTTTGTACCGGCGCGATGGTACACACGCTCTACTGCCGGTACTTTCTCACCTGTCTCTCACGGCGTGTGCGCATGCGCGCTCGAACGAGTGAGAGAGAGAGAGAGAGAGAGAGAGAAGGTCCGCATATAGCCTTTTACCGGTCGCTTCTGGTGGCAGCGCGGCTCGAGCCATTGTGTGTATGTACGTAGCGTGTATTCACGGCTCCGCGAGGAGACAAAAGGCCCTACCTCCTTACGTGGTTCAGCTCCGACTGGCCCGGTTAAGAGAGAGAAGACGGTATATTAGTTGCACGGAGACGAGAGAGCTCGATCGTGATTGGTCGCTGGAGCGCGCTCATTGGCCGATCTCCCTAACGGTCCGACCGCAGTCCGCGCGGACTCCTATCTCCGTCCTTCTCTTCCACCTTGCTCGCACTTTCTCTCTCTCTCTCTCTCCGTCTATCTATACGTTTATCTCTTTCTCTCTTATGCATGGTACAACGCTTTAACGTCCTCGTCGCGCTCGCGACAGACATGATACCAACCACGGACGGTTGCTTGAGTTCTCCTATCTCATCCTCTCTCTCTCTCTCTCTCTCTCTCTCTCTCTCTCTCTCTCTCTCTCTCTCTCCCCTTCCTTTCTTCTTCTTTCTTTCTTTCCTTCTCCGTTCATCTCCCATTCCCTTTCTCGCAGTCTTTCTTCGCACTCGGTCGTTTCTCCTTTTCTTTGGCTCTCTCTCTCTCTCTCTCTCCTCCTTTACCTTCTCGAAAACAGTCTCTCAGCAGCAAAGCAGCAAGATCCCCCAGACAAGATATGAATTCACGTTCCTCCTTTTATATTCTACGCTCGCCTGCCCTCCATTTTGCTTGCTCGGGCCCCTTGTCTGCTTCGCCGATCTGCGACTACCGTATGTGCCGACTATCTCGCGCGAGGCCTTCTTCCTGTCCTCTTCTCTCCTCTCCTCTCCTCTCCTCTCCTCTCCTTTCTTCTCTCGATGCTCTCTTCTTATTCGCTCTTTCTCTCGTCGTTGTGGGCACACGATCGCCTTGTTCGAACGTCGCCATCGTCGTCGTTGCGTCGTCGTGTCGCATCTTCTTCGTCAACGACGTCGTCGTCGCCGTCGCCGTCGCCGTCGTCGTCGTCGTCGTCGTCGTCGTCGTTGTAGTCGTCGTCGATCTCTTCGGCATGCCGCTTTGGCCGAGTAAACGTTTACGAGTGAGACCTACGGTTATATTTACTCGCATATATGCACATGCACAGCACACACATCCGGAGCGTGGTCGGCTAACCGCGAAAGATAGGAAGGTGGTGGTTCGCGTTCTGTGGTACAAATGTAAGACCGAGATATAACATCACAAATGCGAGAGAGAGAGGAAGACGGGGGATACGGGTAAAGTTGTGAGAGAAGGAGAGAACATTACGGATAAGAGAGATCGAGAGACAAAGAAATAAAGAGAAAAGAAGTACGGTTATAGATGGGATAAAGAGAGATAAATAGAAAGAAAAAGATAATTTCTGAGCGAGAGCGTAAGAAGAAGGGTGAGAAAAGAAGCGAAGCGTTAAATATTAAAAACAATCCATCAATTAGCGCTAATGCAGGAGCATTAAGCTTGGGAGCGTTCTCCCGGTTACGCGGTAACACGTGTCCGTGTGTCTCCCCTGGTCGCGACGAGCTGGCCCGAACGCTGGCGCGCGCACATCCGCATGCGACGCGCACTAACGCACACACACACACACACACACACACACGGCCGGTAGGGTTGAGTCGAGCGCGGAGCGGTGGGTATCATTTCGGTTCGTTAGGCGCGGTTCGTGTTCTACAGATGCGACCTTGTGTATGTACAAACGTCCGGTGCGAACTATACATGTGTAAAATCCGCACGCGTGAGAAGACGATGCAGAAACGTGTATTTTGACAATACAAACTTTTCATTCATGGATTAACATGTTTCCTTCTCTTCTCTTCTTCTTTCTTTTCTTTATTCAACCGATTAACGTATACCTACTTACTTATGTATGTACTTAGTTAGTTACGACAGTCGCCTTAACCGGCGAATTTATTTTAACTAAGCTCCACGATTTTACATAAGATTCAAGCGAATCGATTCCACGAACGAAATATCTCGCAAGAATAAAGTATATCTTTTTACTCGAACTACGGAAGAAATTTTCTTTCGTTCTACGTCGCAGATAATTCTCTCGTCAACGTAAAACGGATTTGGTGATGCAGAGTGCCAAGATTAAGTGTGGATGGGCGCGAGAGAGAGAGAGAGAGCACTGTGAGAGGAGAGTTAAAAAGCAGACTTAAAATATCTTCTGCTATTAAGTTCCATTCGTGATGTGTGTGTGCGTGTGTGTGTGTGCATACAAGCACATATACGCACGCATCCGCCGTATGTTTTTTCGAGATATCGCACTGAATTTTATACCTCTTTTTCTCTTTCATTCTCTTTCAATTTTTCACTCTACCATAGCCCTTCCAGTCGTTCCACGGCTAAAATTCGTCATTTCATTTATTTATGTAAATTTGTAAGAAATAAGGGAATCCTTTATACGAGATTACCCTTTAGCGTATTGCATTTTTCGAACGGATCTTAGCTCGCTTCTGAGATACAAAATTCCTTTTCCCTTCGAAAAAAGCTTCTCGAGAAGAAAGGTTCGAAGAGTGTATCGAAAGAAAAAGATCTCGTAGGTGGATAACCGAAAGATCCGATAGATAGAACGAAGGAAAAGGGAGTATGAGAGAGAGAGAGAGAGAGAGGGAGAGAAGGAGTCTGCCTTGCTCTCTTCCTTCTCTATTCTCTCTCTCTCTCTCTCTCTCTCTCTGCAATCCGGGATAATCCTCGAAGAAGTTCGTCCAGGCGTATTCGCGTTCGTATTACCAGTAGTAGTAGCTACTTCGAGTCGAAAGCTCTTGGCAACTACGGATTTTTCTCTCTTTTATCGTGAAAGCTTGAACGGCGAGTTTGTAGGAAGGATGTAGGAAGGTGGCGGGGAAGTCGCGAGGAGGTCGAAGGGTGGTTCGATCGGCCCAGGGCAGTGCAACGACGTGCATCGTACCGCAGCAAGGGCGACATTATCGCCGGTTGCACACACCGTGCGGCTGCGGATGGTGCGGTATGGTGGTTAGGGCAGTGCACCACAAGGGTGGTCAAACCGCAAACGAGACCACCGTCCTGGCTATCTGCTATCTGGATAACCACCGCAGCCACCGCCACCACCGAGCACCCCTCGCGTTCACCGCTCGACCGCCGCTCGTGGGCTCGGCGAGGTGGGGAGCTGCGGCCCCACGCACACCGTTCGCGACTGACTCGGAAACGCTACCGCGTTACGTCGGCTAAAGCTTATCTCGCTAATCGACCTCTCCGATCGATAAGTCCTCGATACGAGCCTAGCTAGAAAAACAACTCTACAATTTTTTTCCCTTTTCTTTCGATATCGACTTCGCCATCACTTTTGCATTCAATTTTTTTCTTTCTTTCTTCCCCTTGTTCTTTTTTTCCTTTTTTTTTTTTATATCCTTTTTCTCTTCGCCTCGATAAACTTTCGAATCGTTCGAAAAACATCGTTGCTCGTTTACTTTGTAGCGATTCTACAACGTATAAACGGCTCGACTTTATATTTTTTAATTTATCTACTACGTAATCACGATCTTACAATATACTCGCGATACATATACGTGTATGTATATGTATATGTATATGAAAAAAAAGGAAAAGCCACTCGAGACTCCGATACTTGTTCGCGTTTACGTCTTCGCGAGAGTTTAACCATGAACATCTCACCGCGGGCTTATCAATTTAATTGCAGCCGAGAAAACGACGTTGACGTCGAGGAGGGGCCGCCGCCGGTGACAATTAAAATTTAAGGAACTCGTCGGACGGCAGGTGCAACGTAAAAACGTGCCGCTAAAGCGGATAAAGGCCTCGCCGAAAACGCTCGTAAACGCCGACGGCATACAGCGGCATATGAAGAAAGAGAAAGAGAGTAAGAATCTCTGGTCTCCATATGCGAGGCTATTACCTCGCCGTGTAATCACCGCGATTCCGCCATGCCGAGATGCGGTGAACTCGCACGATAAATTTCTACGACTCTTCCTTCCTTCCTTCCTTCCTTCGTATCCTCCCGCATCCTGTCTTCTCTCGGCGTCGTTTTGCCGTTTACAGCCCGACTACCGAGAAATTTAAGCGTACCCAAGCTCATCGGGCAAACGGCTTCAAGTATATATCCTCCTCTCTCTCTCTCTTCCATTTATACGTATACACATGCGTATGTATGCATGCATGCATGCATGTACGTACGGATGTACATACATATATATTTTTTATGTATGGTGCTTATAGGAGGTAGCAGCGGAGTTTTAACGCTCGTACATACACGCGTTACCGTCGCGTTTACGACTCTTCTCCGCTAACTGCCACCTTGTGCCTCCGCGCGACTATTCCCATCTCCGTTTCGTTCGCTTTAAAATTCTCTTCGGAACTCATCGGCGAAAGGATTTCCAACGTCTACTAATGTTGGAAAGATTCACGATAATTTAGATCGGGATAATTGTTGGCGATACTTTTTCCTTTTTTTTTCTTCTTCTTCTTCTTCTTCTTTTTTTCTTCTTTTCAAAGAAAGACATTAAAATCTCACGATATCGCCGTTATTCTCGCGGAAGAACGAGGAAAAGGATAAATAAAGGGAGTAAAAGCCGGAGAAACGTCGATGGTAGGCGCGAAACGAATCTCACGCGATTTCAAAGATTTATATTCACGAAATGTCGCGTTGGAAAAATATATTTCGGCGTTTATTGGGCTACGGGATCGATTCTCGGTGGAGAAACGTGACTTTCATCGTGCTTCGCGCTCGCGATATAACCGTGTACGCCTCATCCTCGATACCCTTTTCTCGCGCCAGCCAACGGCTCCTAGGCGCACGCGTACCAATTTATTTCCGAGATACGCGTAGTAGTAACTCGCAGACGATCGCCGAGGAATTATTTCCAGACGGGTGGATGGATATTTCTAACGGACCTACCCTCGGCCATGCTCCTCCTCCACCCTCCCTATTCCCCGCCATTCTCTTCTTCCCGCTCTACCTCTCACTCGGACGATATTTATTAATCCTGCTTCGCGCGAATAAACGAATAGAATTGTTCAACGCGAATCACGAAAAACGATCGCTTTAAAAGCGTTCCGATTGGATTGAGATTTCACGAGTGCGATCGCGTTTGTTTTTCACGCGTAAAAACAAAAAAAAAAGAAATAAAAAACAGGAAAAAAAGAAAAAACACCAGAAAAAAGGAAAATAGAAAAAAAAGAAAAACAAGGATCAATTGGATGATCATTTTTATGCCCAATCGTTTCATCCATATAATCAATGATCCTCGTAATATTTCATTTAATCCTTAAATGAAATATCATTTTTAAAACGCATCGATACGTTTATCTGCCTGCAAACTATTCTCGATAGGAAAAAGAAAAAAGAAAAATAGATCATTTTTTCTATTTCCATTGACCCGTACATATCGTGCACGTTCATCATAAAATGGAATCTTCTTCAAAGAGTCCACTATTCCGTGAGATAGGAAGCCGACCTCGAATATTCATATCCTGCTTGTGCGAAGATCGAACAAACACGAAAGGATTCGTTCGAGCGGTTTCGTCTATATATATATATATATATACGTGTGTGTATATTTATACACACACGCACGCACACATACATACATACACCGTACAAGCCTTTTCGTGGCATCCCGTATTTTTGTTAGACACCGAGGCAACCGGAAAGCGCAATCGCCAAAGGCACCATCTTTTTTATCTTACCGTTCGTTGTTTTTCCGATATATACGAAAGAACGCTTTCACGTGATATACTGCTGTACATCCTAGATCAAAAATTTTCAAGCGCTCTTTATAATTTTTAAAACAAATATAAATTTACCCTTGGTCGTACAAACCCCCCCCCCAAAAAAAAGAAGGGAGAAAAGAAAAGAGAAAACAAAGAAGGGGCGGGGGAGGGAATAAAACATTTATCGTGAAGATAATCGATACGATTGTGTAGACGATTAACAGGCAAGTATAGAAATAAAACGATCGTAAACATAATCGCGTTATATCGTAAATTTATATCGTAAAGCGATAGAAATTTTTGAACGTGGATGTATTTATTTATCGGAAAACACGGTGGCGCATCTGTATCTGCACGAAACTCTTTCGAAATTGAAAAGGATTTATTTGCCGAAGAAGAACAATAAGTCTTTCGTAAATAAGTTGAACCGTCCCTTATCGATAAAGGGGTCCATCCGATAAAATACATAGACTCATCCACGAGCAATTGAATCGCTTCGAAAATTTATCCCCGGTCTTCTTTCTCCGTGCATCGAAGCGTGTCGGGTAACACCGTTCTCTCTCTCTTGTACGGGCTTAGACGAGCAACCAAGCGAGTCGATGTTCTTCCTTTCGCTTTTGCCGGACGGACGATTTTCTTCGGTTCTCTCGTGCTGTAAAATGGGGGAGGAGAGAAAAAGGAAAGAAACAAAAAAAAAAAAAAAAAAAACAAAAAAAGAAGCGTTGTACTTTCCCATTCGGTGTGCGGTAGCGGATGAGAAACAACGAGAAAAAGGGAGGCAGGGAGAGACGGGAAGAGAGAAGGAGAGGGTGAACACATTGGCGCGCGTTTATTAGTGTCCAATTGTGACGAGAGAGGTACCGGTGAAACACGAAAGCGAGCGCGTGAACTCGCTCATTTGCGTGCCTGTTAATTTGCCACGTTTGTGTGCGCACCGGCCGCCGTCGACGCTGCCGCCGCCACTACCACCGCCACCGCCGCCGCCGTCGCCGCCGCCGCAGTGGGACGCCAACGGACAGAGGGAAAATTAGTGCCTCGCGTGTGGGTGGCGCTTTGCATCGCTTGTCTGGCCCAAACTCTGCATACTCACTCTCTTCCTCTCTCTCTTTCTCGCACTCCTTTGCTCGTATATTCAAACGGATAAAAATCGGCAAGTCGTAAAATATCCTTCTCTACCGACGTTGAAAATCAACAGAGCCATCCGTCTTCCCTACGTAATATACAACGCATATATATATATATATATATATATATACACACACAAATATATATATTATATACCTATCTACCTACCCACCTACCTACCTACGTGCACACGCATATACGATCCGACACACGCTTCATGAATTCGTTATGAGAATACATTAAGTTCTGATAAAAGAGAGGATACGCGTTGTCGCTACGTTTGCTTTTCGTTGGGGAAAAATAGAGACGCGTTCTTTTCCACCTCATTCTTTTCCTATGACTTCTTTACTTTTTCTTCCTTTTTATTATGAGAGCTCGTAACCTCTCTCTCTCTCTCTCTCTCTCTCACCCCCTGTTCTCTTGTTAGACGGAAACGCTCGGTTGTGCTGTCAAGTATCGTAACGTATGGTTTAAAAACTTTATTTCATAACTACCTTCGTGCCACATAATTACGTATCACTTGAAATTACCTTTTTTGTTTCCCATTATTTCCATTCCGTATCGATTACAATTCTCTCCTTGAATATCTAATTATTCCAATATATATTTCCCATTAATATCTCGGTATAAATTAATCGAATGTATAAATTTTTTATAAGTTAATCTCGTTATATTATCGAATGAAATTGATACGTTCCTTCGTTCATCGTATCGACGGGACCTTCCCTGATACGATAAATCCTCTTTCTCCATTGAATTATCCATAATAACCGATCTGTATTTAGCTAGCGCGATATATTCAAGATTCATCCGCGAAATGCCGTGGGCGTCCCATCGGTCGCGCTTGGTACTCGACCCCCTCCAAGTTCTAACCCCCGTAAACCCACGTAAAGTTCGCCCTACCCCCCACGCCCGACTCCCAATAGGTTTCCCCGACAACGTCCCCGGGCGTCATTCCTACCGCGTCGCATATCATTACCATGCAAATACGACTCGGCGTGCGGCAAATCCCGCGTAAAATCATCCTTTCCCCGTTCAAATCCAACCCCTCTCTATCTATCTCTCTTTCCCTCTCTAGACTATAATACAACCCTCGTCGCAATACTCTTCTATATCCCGATAGCGGGCACATATGCAAAATGTGCTGCTATCATAATAACGTTACGTCGATGAACCTTCCATTGAATACGGCTGAACCGTGTGCATGCATGGCATCGCTAATTACCTACTCGGTGGTGGCTTTCGCACGGCCACCGCGATCTCTGCCATGTTCTTTACCACTACTCCGCTTTCTCCTCCTCCGCCAATCTACCAGTTTCAAATTCAAATTGCTCTCTCTTCCCGATCGTCTAATTCTACAGATATTAACGGATATCGACATATTTTCTATTACCCATTACCATTTTATCATATATAAGAGAATATATAAGATAAGGATTATAATGTCTCGTGTGATCATGCATAAAATTTTTGTTATTACGTTAGGCAACGATGATGGCATGTATACGTTTACTCAACTTACCTGAAAATGTTTGTTCTTCGGATCGGTGAATAAATATTCGAGGAGGAATGAATAGTTAGTAACATTGATTTAATACGTCGCTTTATACTCTTTTATTATTTCGACTCTTATCCGTTTATGTATAATAATCTCTAAATCTCGATTAATATTTACAAAGAGTTATCCTTTTCGTGTTTGCCACCGAGCTCTCTCGGTAGACGTAGAAAAATATGACGGTATGCTCGTGATGCTCTCTATAATATATATATATATATATATATATATATATATATATATATATGTATATACATATGTATATATATATATATATGAATATATATATATGTATATATGTATATCTATGGTATATACAAAATTTACAAGATAGGCAAGATATGCGTGAGCAAAGCGTTACTTTACGCTCGTCACTATACCTTCTAATCCTAAGTAGAATTAATGTGCGATCTCGTTGCCAAAGGCGATTCATTTATGCGCGTCGAGAGAAACGGAACGAACGAAACCGCTTTTCAAGATCGCTTATTAAAGGGAGCTTATCGGAGCTCATTGTTCGAGTCCTATCCTCGCCGTACTCCCATTCTCGTCCTTCGCCTTCTTTTACGATAATTTAAAACTTTAGTAAGGCTTGCTCGAATTTTCGAGTCACTTATTCGAGAACTTATGAAACTCGCGATTTGGTCCGACTATGTCATTTTAACGTCCATCGAACCGTAAGAAAAAAAAAAAAAGAAAAAACAAAAGAAAAGAAAATAAAGAAACAAAAAAAAAATTAGAAAAGGAAAAAGGTCGAAAAGGAAATGCCGGAAAAAAGAATTAGAAGCAGTTACCGAAAAATTGTAAAGATCTGCTTCGTTTCGAATAATTCGAGTGAAAATCTATCTACATTCGTGTATATAAATTCACCAAGCTCTCGAGCATTTTATACTAATCGCCACCGACAGATCAGATTTAACGAGCTATCAAATTCGGACCATTTAATTCCTTTCGAAATTTCCTTTCCTTTCTCTTCGAGATGTATCCACTTGTTACCTGCAACTTCGCATATAGTCTCTCTTTCCATCGGTATAAACAACAACAACAACAACAACGACGACGACGATGACGATAACAAGAACAACAACGGCAACAAAGTTGCTCGTAAATAACATAACACACGAATTATATAGACGAACGCTTGAAAAGTGGTCTTCGATGATGACGGAGGTGACTCCTTTTGATTTTCTTCAATAAAGAACCTCGTAGACTGTCGCCTTTTTGTCACCAGAACCGGTTACGATATACTTGTCGTCCGCGGAGATGTCACAGCTCAGCACCGATGACGATTCCTTCGACTGAAATCAATCGATCGACATATGTCCAATAGTAAAAATACGATCGAAGAGTGAAGGACATGGGGAAAGAAAAGAGAAAAAAAAATAAAATAAAATAAAATAAAATAAATAAAACAACAAAAAGAAGAAGGGGAAAAAAATATACTGAGGCGTTGAATGAGACTGACGATATAAAGGAATAAAACAAATATGCTAGCCGATACATCATTTCTCGCTAAAAATATTTCACCCTAGAAAGCAGACGCGCGAGTTTTGCGTTTGCGAAGCCAATTTCATCGTGGAATCGAAACTACTACATCGAAACATTAGTACGTTGGATTTTATCTCTTGAAGTATCGTATGTACGTATGGAAGTACTACATAGGTACCTACGAATTTTGCTTTGCGGGTTACAACGATCGCGCGCAGTTTATATATTATCAAGGAAAATTTGAAAAAAAAAAAAAAAAGAAAGAAAAAAAAAAGGAAAAAAAACGTATTCTGGTTTCCCAACTGCACGGATTTATGCGGAACAAAACAAATAGAGAGGTAGTGCCAAGCGGGATGTAAAATACATTTTTGGAAACACGCCTGACGATGGAAGGCTATAGATCTTTCGAATTCGCGGCGAGAGTCTGCCTCTAAAAATCAAATATCGCGATTCGAACGAAATTTGAATTTTTATTCGAAAGTGTAATCGAAACGAGATCAACCGCTTGATTTTGCTGGTCGATCGATGGAACATTCTCGCCGTAAGTGAATCATTTTTATTGCGCGATACGCTCGCGAAATTTTATAATAACTCTCTTTTTATAAGTTTTCCAAGGATTCTAAAAGAGAAAGAGAGGGAGGAAGGGAGGGGGGAGAGAGAAAGAGAGAGAGAGAGAGAGAGAGAGAGAGAGAGAAACTTTCTTACCTGGAATATCGAGGCGCCATAAGGGGTACGCCAAGCGTTAAGAAGATTGTCCTTTCCCGTGGAGACGAACCATTTACCGCTCGAGGCAAATCTCAGGGATAACACGCAGGACTCGTGCAGATGCAATTGATACTTGTCAGGTTTTAGAGCGTGGAGTACCTCGACATTCGAATTCTCCATGCCGACGGCGAGCCAATCGCCGGTGGGACAGTAACCAAGTGAGAAAATCTGCGACGTGAAATCGTGTTGCTGTAGCTGTCTACCCTCCCGGAGATCCCAAGAGCGTACTGTGTTGTCAAGACCACCGGTCCAGAGTTTCGAGCCGTTCGCAGATATATCTATGCAAGAGGCACCATCAGTGTGACCTTGGAACTGTCTGACCAACGCCTGATTTTGAAGATCCCAGACGGCGATGTTTCCGTCGCTGCAGCAACTGAAGCAGACCTTCGAGTCTGGGGAGATCGCGAGAGCATAACACGCCGGTGCCGACGAGGTCAATTCGGCTTTGATCCTCGGGGTTGGACTGGCTAGATCCCAGATACTCAATTGACTTGCCTCCCCACCAACTATCAATGTTCTACCGTCCGGTAATAGCTTCACCGATCTGTATCGTATGAGGGGAAACAATGGTTTTATAATGCTCGTCAAAACGAATGACGTTTTCTGATAATGTATCACAGGATCGAGTGCGATCATTTAAATAACGCGACTGTAAGAGAATACTTTAGAGATAATGTAGACGCTCGTATTAAAATTCGTTCATCGCGAGATCGTATTTTCAACGATAATTAATGCATGCTCACGGAGATTTTAATCGAACAATAGCGCACCGAATTTACATATAAGCGGGGCTAAAATATATCAAATCCGGTAAAGGTTCTAGGGAGAAAGAGAGAGATGGGGGAGAGGAAGAGAGGAACGGGAAACGTGATTGCAAGAAACGTGTATGAAATTTAATTAACATACGAGCATTAACGATCACACAGCGGAGGAGCGAAACGCGAACAATTTGCCGCTTGGAATTTTATTACAATGCAAAAATACGCTTGACGTTCGTAAAATATCGAGAGAGGGAGAGAGGGGGAGAGAGAGAGAGAGAGAGGAGTTTGTGCTAACGCTCGATTCCTGCGGTTTTGTTTTCATTATAAATCACTGCCGCTTTTCGAGTCGTTATTAATTTTGCAATGTAACGTCATAATATACGCGAATATCGTTTATCGTATATTTCACGCGATAAAAGTTCTATTTTTGCGTATCCATCGTTTGATGAATTTACGAAAAATAGAGGAAATTTGGTCGGACCGAAAACACAAGGAAGAGAGGGAGAGGGAGAGGGAGAGGGAGAAAGAGCGTTTATAGGATCGTCGTCGAGAAAGGTAATTTCCACGAACCTGATGTAGTTGTCACGTTGCAGGCAATCGAGCTGCGAAACCGGCTTCGCGCTCCCAGTCCCGCCCTGACTGATGTCCCAGACCTTGACGCATCCCTTGCCGCCAGTGTAAACGTACTTGGTTGGATTCGAGATCGTGACCGCGCACACGACCTCGCCGTGACTGAGAGTATTAATCTGGCGCGCGTGACGCGGTATCCCGCTTCCCATCAAAGCGTCCAAAGGGAAATTCGCTGGTTGCATCTGTCCCTCGCTCGACACGTGGAAACTATACGCCCTGTTAAACAAAAGTCAAATGGGGAAAATTTAATTTTTTCCTTTAGTGTGAGAGGCGAGAGTATAACGTTCGATTAATTCGTACTTACGGTTTGCCACCAGGTACACCGACCGAGCCAACCATGGGTGCCCTCATCGTAACGTGGGGATCGTAAAGCTGTTGAAGGGAAGGCGGTGCTCTAGGTGGCGCGTAACCGTTGTAACCGATCATGTCGACGTGAGGATGTTGGGCAGCTGGCCCGAGATGATGGGGAGGTGGTCCGGGTGGATAATGAGGAGGGTAAGGGCCAGGAACGGCACCGCCGGTAGGTGGACCTTGTAAGAGTTTCGCCGAAACCGATGGCTTCAGACCACCGCCTCCACCGCCACCGCCGCCACCGCCACCACCACCGCCGCCACCGCCACCGCTACCACCGCCACCGCCACCACCGATTACCGCCGATCCGGATGTTGGCGTGAGAGATTTTGAGATCGGTGTCGTAGCCTTCTCTCGTTCTTCCATTTTTTTTGCCGAAGGGGTGCTCGCGTTGCTGCTCGTCCCACTTCTAGGCGAGTGCGGTGTTATGTCCTTTTTCGTTTGTACGCTGCTACCCAATGGCGCCACTACCACCTTGTCGATCCCATTTTCTCGAGGAGACGACCTTCCATTGACTACCGGACTCGTCGGTCCCTCGCTCGCATCGTCCACCACAAGATCCTGATCGCTCTTCTCCCCGTCGCTCTATTAGAGTCAAGAAAAAAGGAAAACGTGATCTCGACTCTCTCTCTCTCTCTCTCTCTCTCTCTCCTTAATTAACTGCTTCCACCGCGACGATGATTATCTAATCGAGATTATGTATCGGCTTTCTAATGTACCTAGCGACACTCGATAGGAATCTAATTAGCGATAGAGATCTGAGCAGTATTAGAGACGGCGATTAATCGTGGATTTCTTCGTAACGACTAAATTATAGTTCTCTCCAGTACCAGATATTTATCGTTTACCTACGCGTCTACCTACGTAACTAACGCACTTACACCAAGAAATATCAAACTTACGTGTCCGATGTCCTTGTCCTGTTCCTTCTTCATTTTCTTTATGTGAATCGAGTGATCGTGATGGTTCTGGGAATGATGACCGTGATGGGACTCTTGTGGCGTTCGTGGTCGACTGTACTTGTCACCGGGAGATATGGAACTTCTCTGTAATACAAAAATATTGCCAATTAGACGATGATATTTTTTACGAAAAATAAGGAAAAGAATTGAGAGAAAAAACCGAAAGAAAAAGAAAAGAAAAGAGATTCAAAGGAGTCCGCTCGTCTTTAAGTCGAATCAAAATATATATATATATATATATATATATATATATATATATATATATATATATACACATATATATATATATATATACATCCAATTTTCATAATACACGATAGTAGAAACAAGACGTTTTCTACACGCAGGATGTTACGTGACAAACCATAATTATCTACGTCGATGGTTATTAACAATCGTCAGACGAGCTTTCGCGGTAATCGATTTCGATTTTAGCGGGCGACATGAAACGTGGAACGTTCGGTAGAGCGTACTCGTTTAGCCCGCGAGGACGATATTAAAATGTAATTTTGGCTGTCAGCGCGATTACCGCACTATTAACGATCTAGTCGAGTCCACTTTTATTATCGTCGGAGAGCGTTCGCTCGCGTTCCGTGCTCGTCATCCACCGATCGATGAATTTCAATTTTACGTTTACAACCTGACGGTTTTTACGAAAATTTTTTTTCCATTTGTATAAAAATATACACATGCGCGCGCGTATTTGAAATTATTACGCGTTCGTGCTTTTCATTTTTTACATCTACGTATTTACATAAAACTAGTGTTGAACTGTATGTGTCGTAGGATGTATAATTTCAACGAGGGAATCGACGGCGGGATGGCGAGGTGAGAGAAAAATGAGGAAGAAAAAAAGGATTGCCGATATTCGAGTGAAATTTCTCGAATCACAAGGTGGCACGCGTCCTCGGCCATCGGTCAAGCTGTAATGAAGTATAATGGAATTCATGGCAGGAAGGGAGGAGAACAAGAGGGAAGGTAAAAGGGTAGAAAAAGGAAAAGATAGGATGCGGTGGCTCGAGGCTCTCTCTCTCTCTCTCTCTCTCTCTCTCTCTCTATCTATCTATCTTTATCTCGAGGAGTGTGAGAAGAGAACAGAAAATGAGCTGCGAGACGAAAAAGGACAGGAGAAAAGGGTTGGGGGTGGAGAAGGGAAAGGGGTCGGTCTGGTAGGGCCGATAATGATTATAGAGTGGGCATGCATAACGTACGGCTGCGAGTGGAGAAAGAAAAAGAAAAAGAAAAAAAAAAAGAAAAAGAAAAAGAAAAAGAAAAAAAAAGAAAAAAGAGATATAAAACGAAAGAAAGAAAGGAAGGAAGAGAGAGAAAAAAGGATAAGAGAGAGGAAGAAAAAGAGAAAAGGATGGAGGACACGAGCAGAAGGCTCAGAACGGAAAGTGCCTCGGGCACGAAGAGAGGAAGAAGAGAGGAAAATAGAATGGCAAGACGCGGAATGAGAGGGCGTCGGTGGGCGTTTCGCGGTCCTGCGATGATTACAGACTCGGCAAACCTATAATACACGCTCCGCACTCCCTTCTCGCCCTTCTTTATGGCCTACCTTCGTTTCTTTCCATTATTTTTTCCGTCTCTCTCCTTTCTCTCTTTCTCTCTCTCTCTCTCTCTCTTTCTCTCTCTCTCTCTTCTCTCTCTCTCTCTCTCTCTCTCTCTCTCTCTCTCTCTCTCTCTCTCTCTCTCTCTCTCTTTCTATCTATCTCTATCTCTCCCACTCGTTTGCTCTTTCTTGTCTCACGAACGACTCCTTTCCACTATCCCCACCTCCGTCTGTCCTCTTTCTTCTTCGTCTCTCACCCTCCCACTCTTTCTCTCCATTTACCTATCATGCTTTTCACGCGCGATAGCCCGTTCACTTCGCTTCTATTTAACAATTTTTTTGCGGCATCGTAAACGTCTGAAAAGTACTTTCGACCATGTCCCTCCTCTATTGTTCCGTAATTCGAGTTCTTAACATGTAAAAGAGCTTAACGGATTCGTACGTACATATTATATATAGGTATGAATGTATATACGTACGAACGTATATACATTCATACGTATTTACATATTTCACGTAATACATATTAATGCATTCGCTGTTCGCGCAAGCACGTTATAAACAACGCTGGCGGGCTCTCTCCGAGAATTGACCGAAGGCTCACGTCGCTAGGATAATTAATTCTTCGGCCGAATTAAATTAACGATCGAATCGGAACATGGGAATTATGTATATAGGTAGGTATGTACTACAAACTCGGCAGGACGCGAACGGAAGATATATCGGGCATAAATTTAACGCTTCACCTTCTACATTTCTCTTTCCTTCTCTTAGAATAACAAAGAGATTGCGAAGTACGCTTAAAATTCATATTTGAATTCGTAATTTCATCTCGACAAGGTGAAAACGGACAGGTAATTTTACGGAGACGAAGAAAGGTGGAAAATGCGTTTGTTACGTTTTTGTTCTCTCTCTCTCTCTCTCTCTCTCTCTCTCTCTCACTTTCGTGCTTAATCCCAGAACGTAGTAGTTGAACTTTACCCCTACCACCACCACCATCACCACCACCACCACCAGTATTCCCCGACTACTAGCAACTACTACACAACATAGCGGCTGCCCTCGCTGTTAGTACTACTACTCCTCTTCGTGTACTTTCTCTCTCTCTCTCTCTCTCTCTCTTTCCATGCGGCCACTTTCCGTGGCTCTCGAGCGTCCGTCGAAAACATAAATTGCACCGTAGAGAGTGCGGGTATACGCGAAGCAACGGCAGCAGCAGCCGGCACCACAGCGCGCCGTTCGTTTCTACCACCCTTCGCGAGCACGAAAAGTTACACGCGTGTAATCTGCGTGTTATACACGAGGCTACGTTGAGTACCAGCACGCTCGAGTACGCTTGCACGCGCTGCTTCTCTCTGACTTACGACTCGACTATGTGTGCTTGTGCGTCTCTCTACGGAAGCACTCTTCTCTTCTCTTCTCTTCTCTTCTCTTCTCCATTCTTCTCTTCTTTCCTCTTCTCTTCTCTTCTCTTTCCTTTCTTCTTGCAAAGAGAACTCACCCTCGCCAAAATATGCTAATTGCGTTGGACGAGTTGCGGAAACGTTAAAAAACTTAACCGTTTCCCCCTCGTATCTTCATCTTTCATGAAATTTTTGGCAATAAGCGTCGTCTTCGGCCTCGCTTGTCGCTTACCGTCCACACCACCAACAACTATCAACGAGTCCAATTGCCACGATTTCACGGTTAATCGGATTATTAATTTGACGTTTCGATAAATAATTTATATGCCCAGTTCTCCGAATGAGAAATATTTAACGATGCGCGAGATCGCGTTGCTATAAATTTCGATGCGAGATTCGTAATCGTGTAGATACCTACATACATACATACATACATACACACATATATACATGCACGCATGCATACATAGATACGATGCGTTCACCTATGTATGTAGATACGTACGAAGTAGCTACGTGCATATAAACGATGCAATAACAGCGATATCCGAGGCGAACGTTCCGCGCGAGCGTTGATTACGACCGCGAGAGAAAAAAAAAACAGTTTTATCGCCTTTCATCGCGCCGACATTCGACGCGGATAATGGGGAAATTCGTTACGATCGAGAGCCGCTTGCAGCGCGAGGGAACATTTAAAAAAGAAAAAAAAAGAGCAGAAAAAAAAAACCAAAAAGAATCGTTTAACCCCGTACACTCGTATAGGTACAAATATGTATATGTATTTCTCTACGTAAAGATGCATTGTCCGATCGGAAAATTCGTAGCTCGCGTGACTCCTTTACGATCTCCCATTTTTGGAGAATAAGATGCGGAGAAATCGAACGTTTTCTTTTTCTTTCTTTTTTGTTTTCTTTTATTTATTTATTTATTTTTTTCTTTTTTTTTTTTTTTTTTTATTTAAATCGTTCGCCTACTCACGTGTCTCTCCTCGGTCGAGCTAAGACCTGCAACAGAATAAAAAAAAAAAAAAGTATCTCGTTAGCCCGGACTTTCAATGGTAAGTCTACCGACGTATTCGTTTTTATATTTCACCTTTAACTACTTTTTCTATCTTTTTTTTATTTATCTATTTTTTTTTTTCTTTCTCCCTTTTATTCCTTTTAATCATCGAAAACGATTTTCACTCCGTCCGACGGAGCGTGGAAAGAGTCTAGAAAAAGCGAGCGCCGGAAAACGTACACGCGCGAAACGCGTCGATAAAATGTTAATAACATAGAAAGGGATGTGCGAGGTGGTCTATGGAAAAGAGAGAGACAAAGATAGAGAATGAGAGACAGAGAATGAAAGAGAAAGAGAGAGCGAGAGAGAGAAAGTGAGAGAGAAAAAGAGTGAGCGAGCGAGAGAGAGAGAGAAAGAGAGAGAGAGGGAAAACGGCACCCGTATAAATGATCTTCATGCATATTTATGCGCTTTTCGCTGAAAACCGCCGGTGTCCGCTAACAGGGTGACGCAACACGCTCTCGTCTCTCGAAAGCGGATACCCGAAAAGCGCTTTGGAAATTTCCGGGCAAGCGAACCGACTCGTGCACCATCCCCATCATATCCTCCACCTCCTCCTCCTCCTCACTCCTCTCCCTCTTTCTCCTCATCCCTTCTCGTCTCTCCTCGTCATTCTCCTCGTCCTTCTCCCTTTGCGTCGCCTAGATACTACATATTTTTTTTCAGCGTCCTGCACGCCGCACCTCTGCGCCCCACCTCACCACACCCCCAACCACGCCTGGTCGCGGGCTTTCATTCGACGGAAATGATATATGTATGTACATACGCGTCGAGTATCACGAGATCAAACGAGGTTCGTCTACAAAAGAGTAGAAAATTTCGTTTTCTATGCCTCTGGTCGAATGAAATCTTTTCGAAAATCTCCTGTTATATATACAGGGTGTCCTCAATACGTAGTAACAAGTTGGTATTTCTAACTATAAGCGTTCGTCGAGAAACGAATGAATCGTAATTACGTGTTAATAATATTCTCATTTAAAATACATACATCGTTTTGTAAGTATTTATGCGAATCGTCTTTTAAACGGTAATGATATAAATAGATTGAATTTCTTTAACACGCGAAGGACTTCCTTTAACGTGCCGATCGTTTAGATAACGAAAACAATGAAAGAAATTCATAAAATCGTCTTTTTCTTATCGGTTAACATCGATATATGTAATTCCTTACCTTTTATCTACGAGGAAGTGTTCGAAACGTGCATGTATACCGTCCGAACCTATAATTACCGTAGCATATTGTCTCTTATCTATTCACAAATTTCAGACGTTTATTCTATACAATGGCATAAGCGCATTCACCGTTGTCCTTTGGTTATACCAACTCGGTTTGCGATAAGGATCATTGGAATGGAAAAATGGTCAAAGATCACGCACGAATATGTGAACGTATTTTTTCTTCTTCTTCTTCTTCTTCTAACCCTTCCTTCCTTTCTTTCTTTTTTATCTTCTTTTTTCTTTTTTTTTTTTTATATATATATTTTTTTTTATATATATTTTTTTCTTTCTTCACTGTTTTCGTGCCTCATAGTGTAATGCACGGTGAATAATAAGAACGCGTGTTAAGGTACACCCTGTATGTATGTATGTATGTATGTATATATATATATATATATATATATATATATATATATATATATATATATAACCAAATAATTTCATATACTTTTTCTCAACTCGACGTGATAAGGTTCGCGTGTGCCGGTAACATCGTGGATTATCATGTCCCATCGAGACTTTCGCTCGACAACATAACGCGATACGCGAGAACGATCGTGAGGCATGTAACGACGCGATGCAACGCAATGTAACGCAAGGCAAAGCAAGGCAACGCAACGCAACGCAACGCAACGCAACGCAACGCAAGGCAAGGCAACATAGCGCAACTAAACTCAACTCAACGCGGCCCACATTTTCGATCATTATGCGGAAGAAATTAAACACGCGATCTCTCGTTATTCCGCGTCTGACGGTAGTATATACTATCTAGAGATACCTAGTTCCTATCTCGAAATGTATAACGAAATTGTCCTTCCACGCTACGAGACGAGTATCTTCTAATTTATATCTGGAAACGTTAACCTCTCTAATCGTTTAATTTCCATCCTCTCAACCCCTTCTCATTATATTTGTTCGATCGAATTATTAAAGACGTACGAATACAGTCGAAATGTTGAAAGAAAAAGAAAAAAAATGGAACATTTGCCATACCCGGGGTGCTTAACGTTTTACGTTAAAAATTCTCATATATTTTCGTACGTTTTTATAGAAATCGATATAGAATATATTGAATTTTCGGTGAAAGTCAAAAATACAAAAAGAAACTGACCACCGTTGCTTTTGAGATCGTCCGGTTGACCACGATGAATCTCCGGTTTAGCTAGCATCGAAAGCGGATGAGCTGCCGTCGTTCCGGGTGTCGTCGCTGCGCCCGGAGTCAATCCAAGACCTAGTAAAGCCGCGGAAGCGGATGTCGGTACCGGAAGACCAGCAGCTGGTCCCAATCCGGGTAGACCGGGGATTCCTGGATGCGCGCCTATAGTCGCTCCTGGTGGCAGTTGTTGAGCGTGCATTTGCTGCAATAATCGAGGAATATCGGGCCTCTGTTGTTGCAACGTCTACAAGGAAAACATAATTATACTTAACGAGCGAGAAGGTATATTTGTGTCAATGTTTTTTTATTTCGATATGTTGCATATACATTCTCACAAGGACGTTCAACGTAAAATAACCAGTGTTTACGGTAAAAAGAATATTTCCAATGTAAATATGACATTTTTTTTTCCACAGACGCGAACTCGAGTTAAGAATTTTCTAAACGAATAAATAAAAAAATTATATTGAGAAATCGAAACGTGATTCCTCCGTACGTTTAATATCCTAAATAAAATATATTTATAGGATGCGTCAATAAAGTGATCCTTCTCTCGTTACCATTCACCCCTTCTAAAACGCAAACAGGTACGGATATTTGTCTACATGCTCAAATGCCTTTCTCATATTACCCACCATACCGAAGAAGAAACGTAAACGCCGATAGCATCGAATAGTGTACGTTCGAAAAACCGTAGAGGAGGAGGGACACGTAACCCTTGTTCATACATAAGTATGTAACTCCTGGTATATATTATAGAAAAGGGAGAAGGAAAGAATATCGAGCGTGTGTTGTATATAGAAGGGTCAGAAATAGAAAGCGTAAGAAAGACCAATAGGAGGGAGGATCGGACGGTCGGTCGTCGAGCCTTGGGGATTGCAACATTTGTATATACGTATAATTTTGTGTGCGATAGTGTGCGTGTTAAGGTCGTAAATGTGAAAGGGGAGGCAGGGGGAATCCCGATAAACTCGTTACGCGTGCGAATCGTGCTTATCGTGGATTTCACTTTAGGCACTTAGGGGTGTGCAAAGAGAGAGAGAGAGAGAGAGAGAGAGAGAAGAGCCTGAGGGGTTCGCCAGCACTAGGGGTGGATTATACGAAATAATCCCTCTCGGGCTACGCGCCGATTGTGTGCGATAGTTATTTCCCCGTCTCCGCCCAGTGAACTCGCCCCAAGGGCTGCGGATTGCCTTCTCTATGTAGGTTCCTTGCTTGGAATGAGTCGCCAGGAGAAGGTCACGTAGGTATATATACATAGGTACATAGATTCCCGTCGGTGCCAAGACCAGCCAACGTTTATCTCTCCGGGGACGTATTTGCGGCCCGCTACCGGCACGTACGCGAGGAAGTACCGTGCAATTTGCCCCCCGGCCACTCGACTTCCGGTTTAAGGGCCACACCGACTCGAGTTTCCTGCTACCCCTCCAGAGAACTCCCTTCCTCGGCTTTGCGTCCGGATTCATCACGTGCCACTTTATTATCCTCTCTCTCTCTCTCATACACACACACATATACATACACTCTTTCTCTCTCTCTCTCTCTCTCTCTCTCTCTCTCTCTCTCTCGCTCTATTTCGCTCTTGAAAGTTAAATCGTTGGTAATATCAAGAAGTCGAAACTTTGTTCTTCCATGATGTAAATCGTCGTGCACACCGATTTGTATTCAAATAGAAAACGATCGAACGGAACGTAATAGTCCTAAACGAGATTTAACGCTGCGTGAATAACGCGTAAGACCGGATAGACAGATATTTATGAGAAAAATGCGACAAAGCCGAAAGAATAAGAGAGAAAGAGATAGATAAACGATCCCTCAAGAAGAACTACAAAAGAGGGGTTGCGTCACGTTGAAAGTAAAGATGGTTAAGTCTCGAGGTGAGACTCACCCCTTACCTGCGTGTTAAATCCAACGGAGCGAAAGCGAGCGAGAGATAGAGAGAGAGAGAGAGAGAGAGAGAGAGAGAGCACGTGACAAAAAGCCATATGGAATTGTGTAAGAGCACGAACGCGTGTGTACGATGAAGACAGACATAGAGGAGGGAGAGCGAGAGAGAGAGAGAGAGAGGAAGAGAAGGGAGTTTGAAGGGCTGCTGCGTTCCGTGTGCAGTATTATTAAACGAAATATTGATTCAAGCCCTGTTTACCGAGTAATACATATTCATGGAGGGTTGGCGCTTCTGTCTATTTGCCCTCATCGCCTCCAGAACGGCGTCTCCCCTCTCAAACTCAAGCCCCCTCCTTTCTCCTCCCTTCTCTTTCACTCTCTCAATTCTTCCATAGTCTACCCTATTACCGATACACCACCTGACTATCGGAGAACTACATGATCGTTTTTCAACCCTGCCCACCCTTCCGTTTCTCCTTTTCCTTCTTTCTATCATTCTTTTTTTTCTTCCCTTTTGTCCAAACGAAGGTAGCCTTCTTCTTCCTTTTGCTCCCTTTCTATCTCCGTCTTCTCCTCTTTAACTCTTATTCATTCTTTAACGTGCACGTTACGAAACAACGATCTCCTCCAAAAAAATTACTACCCTTTCGATTATGATTACACATTTTTTTTTTCCTACTTCTCTTTTCTCTTTTTTTTTTTATGGCGAACCCTTTCTCCCCGTCCCAATTCGTTTTATCGAAGAAATAATCGTAGTCTTTCTCGATATTTGACGACACCGAGACTTTGATTTTCTGTACAGGTTCGTTTAAGCTTTACCACCGGCGATTGGAAAATTATTCGAGTCATGTACACGAAGAGACAGAGAAATAGAGAGAAAGAGAGAGAGAGAGAGAGAAAGTAGAGTACCAACTTGGAACTCAATTATACGCGACGGGTCGCCACACGATCGCATGCCAATTTCAAACGAGTAAGCGTTTTTATCATCGCGATACAAAAATACAAATTTCCTTATGATATTAAGTATGAACGGAATCGATCGTTAACGGAGAATAACCCATTTATTTATTTATTGCAATTAACATCCACGATAGCTTCGATTGATACGCTTCTGAAATTTATTTTGCTTCAAAGTATATATCCTCGATATTGTCCATTATCATCGAGAACCTTTCCGTTTTTTCTCTTTATCGTGATCGTTTTATATATATATATATATATGTGTGTGTGTGTGTGTGTGTGTGTGTAATTTGAATTAAACAGAGAATGCGTGAGTTAATAAAATTCTTGTCGACTCGTATAATAAACGTTTCACACCTCCCTCTTAGTTATTTCGTGATCAACCGGTTTTACTTTAGCGAACTTACGACGTTCGAATGTAGATGGAACGACTTCAATTCCAGTCGAGAGATACGACAATGACGACGAGAACGGCAAAGCTGATTATCAAAATTATTTGAGTGTCGTGTCGTCGAATAAAAATCGTTGAGATAAGAATTATATTGAATATTATAACGAAGTGAGAGAGTATATTGCAAAGGAATTATGTTGAAGTATAAGAGTAAATTTATTTCTTTTTCCTTTTTTTCTTTCTGATAAAATTTAATCGTACTTACCCCTATTATGGAATTGAGTTCCGTCATGGTAACTTGTTTCGCCCTATCGACAGCCGTGGCAACTTGCTGTTGATGTTCCTGAGAAAGAAACGGCAGGATCTGGGCGATAATGGCGTTCAGTCTCTTCGATATCTCGGTCTGCCGGATATATATATAAAAAAAAAAAAGAAAAAAAGGCGCATCGTAATTAAAACGTCCATTAACGTAAACGATGATCGCGCCTCTGAGCTGTGAGAAGAAAAAAGGAGATGGGGGTCGAGGAAAAAAAAGAAAGAAAACAAGAAAAAAGGGTAGAAAAAAGGAAGAAAAAAGAAAGAAGGAAAAAAAGAAAAAAGACGATAGCTTTGACTTTTTCGACGAAAATGCAGTCGTCGATAAGGACAACCGCTACAATCAGCAAGGAGGGAGAGTGAAGAACTCGGAGGGAAAGAGGAGAAGAGAGAGAGAGAGTATCGCGTTGCACGCTCTGTGAGCTTTTATAGAAATTATAAAGCACTTATACGTATTATATAGCGCAGACGGCATAAAATAAAAAAAACATCGTGGCTTAGCGAGAGCGTAATACCTCTCTTCTCCATCCTCTTCCATTTTTCGCCATTATATACGAGATGCTCGATGGCTGCGAACGATAGCTCTTCTCATATATTAATACATTGCCATACGAGATACGTATGTGTATTTTTGCGTATACTATGTATGTTAAACGAGGACGTTTTATGAAATGTCTTTAAATTTTTATAAACGGCTCTATTGCTGGATCGATGCTCGATATTCATTCGATTCATATATATATATATATATATGTATATATGTATATATATACATATATATATATGTATGTATGTATGTATTTACGTATATACTTTAGAAGTAATATTCCAAAGTGTACTATGCTATAATAGATAGGAGTTAACGAGCAACTAGATTTCTACTATAAATTGCATTCATTTAATTGGTTTGACCGATATTAATGCAAGTTAAAAGAAGATCTTAAAGAGGTGTCTTCGGATTACGTAGCTAAATTCTTTTTTTTTTTTTGAAGACCAAAAAAAGAAAGCAAAAAAAAAAGAAGGAAAAAAAAGAAGCAAAGAGATTTGGAGTTTCCTTGGAGTCAAGAGCGCTCGTATTTTGAAAGCTTGAAAGGACAGGCTTGGCAAGAGATGGGAGAGGGGTGCGCTTTCCTCTATTTTAATCTCGGGTAACTCGTGCCAACGCCGCAGAAATGAAGCCACGCGAGGTGGAGAGACTCCGAATTGGACGAGTAATGAGAAGAGATTAAAGATAAAGCTGTCGGAATAAGTACAGCGAAACGTTTAACAAGAACCGAGAAACATGTGAGAGGACATCCTGAGAGATTTCGAGTATTACATACATACATACATAGATAGATACATACATACATACATACATACATACATATATACACGCTGATATAATATGCAATACATGTATTGAACGAATCCTTTAACGTGATATAAATATCGAAAAAAGATCGCATAAAAATGTCAATTCTTTGTTCCGCATGATTTGTATCCGCATGATTTGTACCACGGATCGGAAGCAAAAGGAAAAGAAAAAGAAGAAAGAAAGAAAATGAAAGAAAGAAGGAAGGAAGGAAGGAAGGAAGGAAGGAGAAAAAATTAAAAACATTTTTTCTCGAGGCGTTAAATCGAGAAGCCAGCGTAGCGTGTGAAAAAGAAAGAAAAAAGGGGAAAAAAAATGGAAAAGAAGAAAAATAAATAAATAAAAGAAAAATGCATCGAATATCCTTCTTCTTTCTCTTTCTCACCCTAAGTTCCAACGTTCCTTTCGTTAAATCGTTACTCGTGTCGTCGAGTCATCGCGGCAAATGTTTATTCGCCGGTATATACTCGGAGCAAACTTATCTCACCTTAATGACTTTGGCAAACATGCGACGTTCGACGAGACGCGCGACGTCTCCTCTCGCGGTAACGCAGTCGGAAAATAAAACGCCACTCGAATGAGGAAAACGAGAAGGAGGAGAAATAGGAGGAGAAGTAGAAGAAGAAGGAGGTGGAGGAAGAGGATCATGATAAAGAGGAAGTGGAATGAGACGGTGAAAAGAGGATATTGCGAGAACGTACAAGTGTCTATATGCAAGCCGAACGGTATAACGTGACCATTTTTAATTCTTTTCGAAATGAAGAAACAAAGGAAAAAAAGACAAAAAAAAAAGAAAAAAAAAGAGAAAAAAAGAAACGTAATAAATTGAATTTGTAACGAATTTTCATAAACGACGGAAAAATGGAAGAAAAGAAAAAGAAGAAAGAAAGAGATAAAAGAAAAAAGAAAAAAGAAAAAAATGAAATTTAATTTGGAAAACGTAGCAACGATGAAAACGTTAGAGGAGCCAAGCTCGAATTCGTTATGCGATTCACGCTACATACATATATGTATGTATGCACGTATGTATGTATGATTGCGAGATATGAGGAAAACGACGTCATATTGTTTCGAGCAAGACACATGTGTTTTTCTTCGCGACTCGACGTTGACATGTGCGTCATTGTAAAAATGGGAAAATTACTTTTAATGCAAAAGATATTTACCTGTTTGTGCATCTCGACGTTTAGGCCGTACGACATCTCGTAATACTGCAACAAAGAGAAAGAAAAAAAAAAAGAAGGACATGTTTATCATTTTCTTCGATCGAATTCTTTAAAACACAAAGCTGCACAAGAGATAAACTAATAGAACGTCGGGAAAAAAAGATCGTACGAATTAATTTTCAGGAATTTGTGGCGTTCGCCTCTAATTGCGTTCTCTCGGTCTCTCCATGTAAATTGATACGACGACTCGTGTCTCGTTCCTTCGTTCCTATGTAAGTACGTATTTACGTAAAATATACGTACGTACTTACGTATTGCCTGGCTTCGTTTCACATTTGCAACACGACATATTTGGTAGCGCAGCCGTTCATGGCTTAATTAAGACGCGAGAAAAGATACTCGCCGCGGATTCCGAATCGATATCTCCAAGATCTCGAATCTCTGATTAGTTAGAGGTTCTGTTCTCTGTTTCTTCGATATGCCTCTGTCTCTTTTATAACCAACATAACGTTTTCATCTAATTAAATCGAATTTAATAGACTTAAAGTAAGCGCGAGATAACGATAATAATTTTCCAAAGAATTTTATATTTAACGAAGAGTAGAAGAATGTCCTTCGATCGAATACTTTCTTTTCTTTTCTCAATTGCGCGAGCGTAATTGCGCAAAACAACAAGGATAGCCTTCGGCGGCACCACTGCTGGCCGTGGTTTTTGCGGTCGTCCTTGTTTAACTTTCTACTATTTTATGTTCTCTCTCTCTCTCTCTCTCTCTCTCTCTCTCTTTCTTTCTTTATCTATCTATCTATCTATCTATTTATCTATCTCTATCTCTTTCTCAGCCGTTTAACGCGGCGAGCATTAGCAAGCGAGTCAGCAATTTAGCATCGTTTGCCAGATTTGTCCCAGCCTCCGAGCTTCTTTATCGAAAAAAGAAAAATTTTCCTAGCGCGATCCTCTCTCTTTCTTTTCCACACCGAACTCGACCGAGTCTCACACACGGAGGTCATTAGTCAGAGAAACGAGATATAGCTGGATAATAGTGGTAGTAGTAAACGTAGCAGTTGCAGTCGCAGTAGCAGTAGTAACAGTAGTAGTAGCAGTTACTACTGCTGCTAGTAGTAGCAGTAGTACCTAGTTGGACCGTTTCCGCGGTAACGCGTTATTAATTATCCTTTAATCGCGATAAACGTAAGCGGTGCTCGCAGTTGGTGCCATAAAGAGAAGTATTATGTGTGTATGAGAGAGAGAGAGAGAGAGAGAGGGAGAGAGAGAGAGAGAGAGAGAGAGAGAGAGAGAGAGAGAGAGAGAAACAGGAGGAGAGAGGGAGGAAGAAGCAAGTAGCAAAACGCGTGCAATGCACGCTCTCGAGTACTCGGCTTACAGGTTCTTAATCTTACGGGCCATTAGCCCGGTAATTACACGGACGAATTAATTGCGTCGTAAGTAAGTTATTTCTCTCGTGAGAGAATCTAAGAGAGGAAGAAGAAGGAGGAGGAGGAGGGAAATGGGAGGGAAGTAGACGGAAGGAAGGGGTGTAACCGGTAAAGAGAGGATGACGACGACGACGACGACGACGATGACTAGCTAGCAGAACGAAGGTAGTTAAGATCGAGTAAGAAAGATGCGAGAAAACGAGGCAACCTCTTCCAATTGCAAAACTATCGATTAACGTCGACGTCGGCGGATCTTGTAGGCGTAAAGAATCATCTTCGTCGACCTCTCATGGCAATCGATTAAAAAAAAGAAAGAATGAAAGAAAAAAAGAAAAAGAAAAACAAAGAAAAGAAAAGAAAAGAAAAAGAAGGAAAGAGAGATGCTAGAAAATTTCGAACGATCATTAACCAGGTATCTGGTGTAATTAATTGATAATTATCGGTGCGAAAGGTGTCGAGCACGTTGATCGATATTTGAAATTACATGGATGCACCTAAGTGTCGAGGGGAACGAAGAGAAGAGGAAGCCACGGCACGATTTGCAATGATTCGAATTATGAGATACAACGTGTGTCGGTAGGACTCGTAGAAGAGGGAAGAGAGGATGAGAAGGCGAAGGATTGAATGGAACGAGAGGGAGTGAGGATGAAAGAGCAGAGTTCTCGTTCGTGGTTCGCGTCGATAAATCTCTGCACCGAACGTAGACTTCCTTTAACTACTGCGCCTCCTCCTCCTTCTCCTCGTCGTCGTGTCGGCCGTGTCGGCTCGTCCGCTTGATTAATCGTGTTTAAACTAGTCGCCTCCGCGCGCCAATTAAGTCCGTACAACGTTCGTGTTCGAGAGCGAGAGAGAGCGAGAGAGAGAGAGAGCGAGAGAGACGATAAAAACAAGATCGAGAGAGTGAACGATAGTGAAGGAGGGGTGGAGACGATGGACACCCTTCTCTACCATACTTCTTCCTCCTACGCTATAGCTATTACCCCATCGGCATCGACTCTTCCTGACACAAAACAGGAACACGTCGTGAACCGAAAGCAAAACAGCAACGCAACGTCGTTGTTCCAATGTTACTTGCTTGCTTGCTAGCTAGGTTGGTTGGTTGGTTGGTTGGGTTGCTTGCTTGCTTGCTTGCTTGCTAGCTAGCTTGCTTGCTTGCTGCCTGCCACCGGCCCGTGAGGGACAACAATAAATTAGTATCGAGCCGATGTGCACGTGGTGGCTAACAAGATCACGTACACGCGCTTAAAATATATCCGTCGGTGTGACACGACAAAGAAAGAGAGACACGACAGAGAGAGAGAGAGAGAGAGAGATAAAGAGAACGCGCGCATGCATGCGTTCCTCGAGTAAAGAGAGAGAGAGAGAGAGATAAAGAGTTCGCGAGAGCGGTGGGGGATGCGCGTTGAAACGCGTCCCGCATATCCTCGCGCGATGAATGTAAAATAGAACGCAATACGTTGCAAAGTAATTACGCATGAACCATTAACCCTCGACCCGAACTAAAGTATTAATTGCCTTCTGCCTTCTCTCCTATCGTTGAAATTTGATAAACGAATTGTTCCGTCGTCCACGTAAGTTGGATATTCCTCTATAGGATCTAGGATCCTCATTGGAATCCTGGATCTATCGAAATCGAATTTCAAAATTTCGTGATGATCATTTGCAGATAAAAAAAAAAACGCAATAGCATTTAATTGAATTAATTTTAATAATTTCTAATTTAACGGCAAATCGATTATAAATCATCGTTTAAATTAAATTATCGATGATTTTCCTATTCTCGTCGTTTTATTTTCTTAAGAAACTTTTGCGACTTTTACGACGTTGAGAGAAAATATCTAAAATAGAACGATGGATCAGAATTCAACGCGATAGATCGGGCACAACGTCGAGTCTCGGTCGATCGTTTCTGGCCACGAGAATAACCTTTCGAAATTGGCAGGTCAACTTGCACGAAAGCGATCCCTGTTGTTGGTGGCTCGTTCGAACTTGGTAAACTTGACACGCGTGTAGCGAGTCAAACGGATCGCACTTTGGTCTCCCTCTCTCTCCCTCTCTCTCTCTCTCTCTCTCTCTCTCTCTCTCTACTATCTCTTCGTTGGCATCAAAGCACAAAATCTCAGAACGTGTGGAATTGTAATTAACGTTAAGCGGACAAAGGCTAACCAAGAAGAGATAGAGGTAGATACAAAAAGAGAGAGAGAAAGAGAGAGAGAGAGAGAGAGAGAGAGAGAAACAGAAATAGCATAGCCATTTTCGTAAAGCTGATTTTACGAGCTCGTAAAAGAAGCTATCGACTTGACCGAAATTCGACTCTGTCGATCGGCATCCAATTCGTCGAAAACGTATTCCCTTTAGAAGAAGCTTTTCCAACGGCGTCTATCGATCGACAGAAAATGCACCTTGAAAGAGTACTCGATATAAGGGAGAGAGTCGTTTCGACTTTGAATCGATACATCGACCGATCAAAATAAAAAAAAAGAATTAAAGCGATTGAGAGAAAGAGAGAGAGAGAAAGACGTTTCCGAAGATGGCCATGGTAAAAGAAACTCGTTAATTACGCGTTCTCGTTATCTCCGACAAGTTTCCACGCAAAGTCACGCCAATATAGCACGATAGCCGAACAGGTCCAACGTAATTAGCTGACTCTGCCTGAACTCGATCGACCGCGGCGTGAACGTTGAATACAGAGGGACAGAGAAAGACAGAGAGACAGAGAAATATATATATAGAGAGAGAGAGAGAGAGAGAGAGAGAGAGATAGCAAGCCAATGAGAACGACCACGTAATCCAAAGGCATTAACCAGCCGTTGGACAACGGTCCGCCATTACTACGTATTAGTTTGTCATTAGATACCCAAAGCACGAGCAACGTGACTTCGGTAAATCGATGAGCACCACTGGCTCTTAGTATCATTAGCTATGCACGATAGGAGTGTACCGCGTGCTTGCTCGTGTGTAAGCTAGAATAAGTATACATATAGATATGTGTCTATAGATATGGATATACCTACGTATATATGTTACACGTAGAATACAGCACGCGCGCGCGCGCGCGCGTGCAAAAGAGAGAGAGAGAGAGAGAGAGAGAGAGAGAGAGAGAAAGAGAGAGAAAAAGAGATAGAGAAATCTAACAGAAGGGAGACCCCAACGCAAAGTCTGCACGGTGAGAACGCAATTAATGTTAAAAAGTCTCGGTGGTTTAGCGGTCGAGCGAGCATAATTGCACGGAATAGAATGTATGTAGACGGGGGCGTGGGGAGTGTGGGGACGAAAATGGAGAAAGCGAGAGGAAGTATCATCATGTGCTCGTGTAAAATTAACTTTAAATAATGATTTTTGTTTCTTTTTTTGTTTTTTTTTCTACTCCTTACCATCACATAATGCCGTTGTATCTCGATCTTGTCGGTCGCCAACTTTTCGCACTCCAGCTTCAATCTAAACAGAAATAATCAAAAATGTTTAACAGCTCAATTACGTCGAAATCGTACGGAGAAATAAAACGTGACGAAAAAGGAAAGGAAAAAAAAAAGAAGAAAACAAAAAAAATGGGAAAAGAAAGGAAAAGAAAAGTTGAAAAGTTTCCGTTCGAACGTTTCTTCATCGATTCTTTTTCCATTCTATAATTTTTTTTTCCTTTTTTTGTTTTTTTAAACGCTACTGGACGTAGAACAAAGGGTCTAGCCGATATGACGCGTACGATCCGACGATAGAAAGATACGAAAAAAAAAAAAAAAAAGAAAAAAAAGAGAGAAAAAGGAAAAGGAAAATGTAAGAGCGAGAGACATAGCGCGCAAAAGGTCGCGGAAGTTCCGGCGTATATCGAATAGTGGAAAAATAGAAAAGGACAGAGACAAAAGGTAAAGTTCGAATGCTACGGGGGAACGTTGAAAAATGCAAAGACAAGTGGTAAGGTTTCCTCGATTTCGTATTCGCACAGAGAGAGGGATAGATAGATGAGTATAACCGTCACTCGCGTAACCTAAGGAAAAAGAGAGAAGGTTGTCTATAGGTCGGTCCGTCGTATAGCGACATATATAGGTCTAGAAGAAAAAAAAAAAAAAAAAAAAAAGAGAAAAAAAAGAAAGAAAGGAAAAGAATATCGCGAACGCAAGAGTACCATTAAGCGTTCGCCGATAGCCACGTTTCGTCGTAAATCACTTATGGCTTCCGCGCGTCGCGTGCACCTCAAAGAAGAAGCCTCCTGCTGCTGCTGCCGCCACCGCCGCCACCGCCGCCGCCGCCAGCTGCATTTGTTCCCAGTCTCTCATGCGCCAGGAGCGCGCGAGCGCCCTCAAAAGAACGATCCATAATACAGAGCGAGCCCTCCCGACGATGATATACCTTCTCTACCTACCATTGCTAGCCTAGCTAAAGCTATGTTGAGCTAAGCCAAGCTAACTTGAGCTAACTTTTTTCTTTTACTTTTTTTTCTCCCCCTCTTTTCATTCAAGTCGGAAAAAGATCGATTGAAATTAATTATACGAAGCTTACATTTTCTACGAAATTTCGTGAAAACTTTCGTTTCTATAATTTCGTTTCTATAACCGTACCAAGCGAATAATTTCTTTTTTCTTTTTCTTTCTTTTTATAACCAGTTATTGACTCGCTCTCTATAAGGATAAAGGATGAGGATCCACGATGGACGGAAAAAGAATGAAAGAAAAAAAAAAAGAAAGAAACTATGGGAACAACTCACGTGTGATACTGTGCTTGTAAGAAGCTAAACTCCTCTTTGATCCTGTCGCAAGACTCGTTCACTGTGAACTTGAATGGCTGCCCTGGTTGTGGTGGACCCTGAAGATAAAAAACAAAAGTTTATTTATTTATTTATTTATTTTCTTTTTTTTGTTTTTTTGTATACTACCTTCTCCAGCATTTCTTTTTCTTTTCTTTTATATATAAATAAGGAACTAATAAGTAAGGAAAAAAGGGCTTAGAAGACGAAAAAAAGACGCAATAGAAAAAAAAAAATTACAGAAAAGAAAAGAAAAGTTAAAAAAAAGTCAAAGAAAATGTATAAATAAATCAAAAAGAAATATTGTACATGTGGAATGACGCAAGATGGGCGGTCTTTCCTCTTGCCAGTGAAATTCTCCATGAAGGCGTCGCTTTGTCCGACATAATTCGATACGCGCGTACGAACGAAGAAGCAGCCGTGTCGTCGGTGGTTTCCTGCACGTCGAATAATTAATTCCGTACATCTGTTCGCTCGAGGAGTAAGCGTGGGCGCGAGTGCGCGCTCACTTGCTCGTTCGCCCGTTCGTTCGAGAAAGAGAGAGAGAGAGAGAGAGAGAGAGAGAGAGAGAGAGAGAGAGAAAGAGAGAGAGAGAGATAAACACGTATAGACTCTCTCACCGCGATATCTATATGCTGTTACATAGGAGAAAGCGATACGAACACGTACAAGAGAGAAAGAGAGAGAGAGAGAGAGAGAGAGAGATAGTAAGTGGAAACACGAGATCCAACGGTGGTATACTCTACTATAAAGAGGAAGAGAGAGAGAGAGAGAGAGATGATGGTAGGTGCGCGTGAACACGCGTGCACGCACGATTACCTCCCCCGTACGTGAAACTACACTGTCGTATGTAGTATACGCGGTACGACGAGCTAGAACAGAGTAGTAGAAGAGGAATAGAGAGGAAGAGAGAGAGTGAGAGAGAGAGATAGAAGAGAGACGGAGCAAGTGTTAATTACACGTTTGCGGTGTCCGGGAGGATTACACGCTACAACCGAAACTATGAGGTTCTCGACTGTATATAGACGCTCGTTCGTGCACGTGCTTGCGAGTACACACACACACACACACACACACACACACACACACACACACACACACACACATGCGCGCATGCACGCATATACAAAAGCATCATACGTAGATAGATATGTGTATATATATATGTGTGTGTGTTTGCATATATACATACATATACGTATATTTGTAACGCGACCACTTGGACGCGCTTACAAACGCATTTTCGACGACCTGTAGGATCGTTTCTATTCGACTTTTCGAAGCTCCGATTAAACTATCGTTCGAACGAGTTCGACAAGGAAAAAGAAAGAAGAAAAAAAAGAAAAAGGAAGAAAGAAAAAAATTCTATTTTATCGACAATTTTTAAACGCGCGTTTAGATAACTGTTGAAAGATAAGTTGCTTGCTATAAGCATTTTCGAGGACTTTCGTGTCGAATAGTCGAAAGAAAAAAAGGAAGGGGGGGTCGAGAAAGAGAGGGAGAGAGAGAGAGAGAGAGAGAGAGACGGAAGAAGATCGCCCTCGAGTTAAGAGGGAGGTGCCTCTGCACCTCTAGTGACCTCGATCACAATCGAGCCGTTGTAATCGAATGAGATGGAAGTCTTCTCCTCCTCCTCCTCTAGCTCCTCCTCCAGCTCCTCTACCTCCTTTACTACTACTTCGGTTCAACCACCGACAAAGACTAAAAATCCATAGAAGAAGTCCGGTACTCTCGATATACACAAAAAGACCTTCTCTCGCTCGGTGTTTGGTTCTGCCCTCTTTAGCGAAGAATTCTACTCCTCCTCCTCCACCACCTCCTCTCTACTACTTCTCTCTTCCTTTTCTAAATGGAACCTGCCAGCTGGCCCGTGCTGATCGAGTCATAATCGATCCTTCGGATCAAAAGTCCACGGTAAAAGGAAGAATGAAAGTCGACGCGTATTCTCTCTCTCTCTCTCTCTCTCTCTCTCTCTCTTCCTCTTCAGGTTCGACGAACCAATTTTTACATGATCAAAGGATTACACGGTTCAAAGCGTATTTCTTTCCGTTCGTTGCTACGACGTACATACACACGTAAACAGACATCTCCCAACCCACATATCTCTCTATAAACAAATGTAAAATGAAAAATAAAAATGAAAAGGAGAAAAAAGTGATCAAAAGTTTCAACGGTATAAGAAAAAGAAAAAAAGAAAGAATTGAACAACAGTTGTTTCGACCCTAAAATATTTTACTCGATAATTTTGAAAAAGGATCGATGAAATTTATATAAAGGATTGGAAAAATTAATAAGTCAAAATTTGTAATGGGAAATATAATGTAATCGACTTTCGTTCATTGTTGAAAGATTTCCATCGATAATACACATGTATAAATCGATTTCGTCGTTAGGTTATCCCATGTAATCATGTAAATCCGTTCGTATGGATCTCGTCCTCGATTATCCCGATTGAGAAGAAAATTTCATATTCCCAGTTAATTCTTAAACAATAGATTATCACTAATCCTTAAGTCTTAGAACCGTTATATAATAATAATAGACGCAGTAGAAGGGATCGAGTAAAAGCAGATAAGATTGAAGGAGTCATTGGGCTTTCCACTTGGCTCGTGGTTACTCGCAAATCCACGGTGGAATTTAGAGAATCCTTGTGTCGCGCTGATACTATCGTTAAAATCGCTGGACCTCTCGTAGAAAGGAAAGTACAACACTAGAGTGGTTGTCCTCTTGTTACCTCCATTTTCTCTCTCTCTCTCTCCCTCTTTATATATATATATATATATACATATATATCTCGCACACACAACGAAGTCAGAGGCTTTCCAGTAAAGCTTTGGCCAAGCTTCGGAACAGAGAAGATCCTGTGGTCGGAGATTACGCTGTCGAGGAGCAGTTGCTAAATTCTCGAGACTAAGAGGTGAATCGGAGAAGTAGGAGAATGGGCGAGACAATAGCTAGGAAAGGTGGAGGATGAGAGGATGGAGGAAAGAGAAAGAGAGGTGGTAGGGAGTATAGTTAGGGTGACGGGGCGAGGAGAGAAAGAGGAACGAAGCTGCCCACGGACGAGGGAAGTTGCGGTTTTCGTGGTTGCCACGCGGTTGCGGCTTAGGCAAATTGAGATAGTTCGCAAACCACCGAGCAGCTGACCCCTACACCGTAATGCCAGAATGCCGCGACCGCTTCTACTGGGAGATGATCTCGCAGTCGAGAAGGAAACGATTAATACGCATCACTTCGTCAAGGAATAGAAGGAGCTTGGGAGAGAGGGTTATGCCTGGAGTTTGCGGTTTCGCGATAGAAAAGGACGGGAATAATAATAATAATAATAATAATAATAATGATGATAATGATGATAATAATAATATAAAAAATGTATCTATGTAGACGGATGCGTAGTTTTGTGGTCAGGTTAATCGATATATATATATATATATATATATATATATATATATACATATATATATATACACATAGATATATATCGACTTGCCCATGAAATTTCATTTCGCATTACGATATTATATACGCGCATATCTAAACATAATTCATGGTATTTACCTATCTAGCAATTTTCAATAACATCGATATTCTAAGTTCCTCGTACGCGTGTCGAGATTTATTACGGACGATCCAATGAGATTTGATATAAGATTGACGATCTCGAAGATACGTTCCAGTAGTCGTAAAACGAAGGAGACATTGACGGCAACGACGACGACGACGACAACGATGTAAGTAAGTAAGTACCTACGACGGAGGACACGAAAATACGGGCCACCGATCGAGTTTCTAACGAGATCAAGAAGGCTCTACCTCTAATTTAGTTACATCGACTTAGCTCGCGTATCCTTGCCTCGCTACACCAGCTTACTTATGCTAATTCGATAGAGAACAGAGGGATGGAAGTGACTCTCGGATAAGTCAACCTAACCAAATTCACCCCGCTCGTCAAGTTTTCTTTCGAACCGAACGCATTTACGTTTATTAAAGAGACACGCGTTCTGATATTCTTCGACAACGAAACAATAGAAAGAAACAAACGAAACAATAAGAAAATTCTTCGTATATCGTAAAAACATTTTACAACGCTTAATAATAAGAAATCGTCGTAAACCCATATTTTTGCAGGTACTTCAAATCGCTTCCGTAAAAGATTTCAAAGGAACTTCAAAAGATACACGTTCGCAGATAGGATCGAAGTACAAAGGAGATAAAATCTTATCGTTCTTTTTTTTTCTTTTTTTTTTTTTTTATTTATTTTCTTTTTCTTTTTCTTTTTTCTTTTTTTCTTTTTTTCTTTTTTTCTTTTTTACGACTCGTACTTACTTGACTTGAACGGATGATCAATAAGTCAAATACAAACGATCCACTCGTCTATCGGTTTCGATATATGTTTGTCGAGTAGATAAAAACGAACGTTCTATCTTTTACCGTGACAAATCGAAAAGACAAAAATTCCATCGCTCGTACGAATGGAGAGAAAGAGAGTATCGTAAAAATGATTTAACGGATTTACAACGCCAATAAAAAAGAAAGAAAGAAAGAAAGAAAGAAAGAAAGGAAAGAAGGAAGGAAGGAAGAAAGAAAGAAAGGAAGAAAAACGTAGAAAGTAAATTTATATTCTCAGCCCTGTAGAATGTCATAAATTGAAAATAACAGTAATTAAGCTAACCAATAAGAGTAAGGAGAAAGTAAGACGTGTATTGGTTTATGGTCGTGATCCGAAAAGAGCGGTTGAGAGGCACTGACGGCAAGTAAACAGTACTGTATTGTATTTGTGTGCTTAGCCTGGCAAATATTAGCCACCATATCGCTTATGGTGCTTGTTGAGCGAGGGTGATGGTCGATAGTCCGTATAGTGGGAAGGGTGGTATTGTAGAACCTTCGTTCGTTACGACTCCCTCTCCCGTGCTCTCTTTGGTCAGCCAGACTTCTGTCTGCGTGTGCGTGCATGTGTGTGTGTGTGTGTGTGTGTGTGTATGTGAGTGTGAGATAGAAAGAGAGAGAGAGAGAGAGAGAAAGATGCGAGTGGGCGAGAGACGCGAATAGACGCTGTGTG